GATTTGATAGCTGTTTTCAACTACCTGAAAGGGGGTTCCAAAGAGGATGGCTCTAGACTGTTCTCAATGGTATCAGATGACAGAACGAGGAGTAATGGTCTCAAGTTACAGTGGGGGAGGTTTAGACTGGATATTAGGAAAAACTTTTTCACTAAGAGGGTAGTGAAACACTGGAATGCGTTACCTAGGGAGGTGGTAGAATCTCCTTCCTTAGAGGTTTTTAAGGTCAGGCTTGACAAAGCCCTGGCTGGGATGATTTAACTGGGAATTGGTCCTGCTTTGAGCAGGGGGTTGGACTAGATGACCTTCTGGGGTCCCTTCCAACCCTTATATTCTATGATTCTATGATTCTATGATTATCATACGCATTGTAAGGAGAGTGATCACTTTAGAGAAGCTATTACTAGCAGGAGAGTGGGGTGGGGGGAGAGAAAACCTTTTGTAGTTGTAAACACCCATTTTTTCATGGTCTGTGTGTATAAAAAGATCTTCTCTACTTTCCACAATATGCATCCGATGAAGTGAGCTGTATCTCACGAAAGCTTATGCTCAAATAAATTGGTTAGTTTCTAAGGTGCCACAAGTACTCCTTTTCTTTTTGCGAATACAGACTAACACGGCTGTTACTCTGAAACCTGTCATTATACTTTAGGTAACAAATTCAAGTGCAGGAATGTTTTTTTTTTTTTTAGAAAAGATTAATTTTAAAAGAATAATGGAGATTATTCACAGAAGGCAAACTTCAAATTTTCTTTTCATGAAAACTTGCACCAAAAACCTGATTTTTCCCTGCTCCCACCCCAGATTTGCCTCAACCAATAAACCAAGCAAAAGAGAACCCCCTGCCCTCCTGCGTCTGTCTCATCACACTGAGAGCCTTTAGAATGCTGAATAGTCTCTGTGAACAGCTTGTGAATGAGCTGCATAAGAAGAATTATTTGAAAATAATTTGGCAAATAATTTTGAATAACAAAATCAACAAAATTATACCTTCCTTGTGAAAAGAAAAAAAGATGGAATGTGTTAGAATGAATAAATTATTTAATCTTAGGGGTTTATAGTGCCACCTATCACTGAAGTATCTGAGTGCATTCCACATTAATAGCAATAGTGATGTCCCTAGTGCACTTCCTGCAGTCGGACACCCTACGATGTTCTCCCATTATGGGGTCAAAACTCTGCTTGTGGTAGGGTGTTTTTTTTTAATGTATTAAGATACTTTTTTTGTAGTTTGCTTTGTTTAGATTTTTTGGATTGGTTGGGGGATTTGGGGTAGAATGAGCTGTCAGTGTCATGAGCATTCTGATGGTGGAAAAAGGAAAAGGACAACCATATAGTTAAGAATAATTATACTTAACTCTAATATTGAGTTCAGAATGGTCCTTTTAGCCCCTGGTTCAGAATATGAATGGGGAGAAGCTGTTTGTATTAACTGATATTCCTTCTTTCATTAACCAATGTTATTCAAAACTACATTTCCATTATGGGTACAAATGCTCACTAGCTACCATTCACCCATCACATATTGCACAATACCACCACAGGCCATGCTCAATATGCCTTTATGGGCCACAGCATCAAGAGGCCACTTACCCACTATATATAGACCACAGACTGTGCCCCTGCCTATCTGAGCTTCCCTGTACTTCTGGATCACATTATCATTGGTTTGGGCTGTTGCTAGTTTAGGCATCAGTAGTCCCTTAGCAATTACAGGCCTACAGTGAATTTAATTTTCCACATACTGGTCTAAACTGAGGTGCCAGAAAAGCCTCATGTCGGCCCTCCTGTGAAAGTGTTTTTTAAGGGTGTAAATTCAAGATGGGATTAATCTGAACAGGATATGTAAGAAAGCAGCTGTAAATCCCAGGTACCGTGGCTGAGCACAATGAAAGAATGAGACTGATGAGCTAGGAGTGTTACACAGCTCAATTCATGAAGGCTAGCAGGAAAGCTGCTCACTGGTACAACATTCAACACCCATTAAGGGCGAGTAGCTAAACCCACAGCACCCAAAGCAACTCTTGTTGCTGCTCAAGCCAAAATACAAAGGAACCACAGAGAAGGTCACATTGACAGCATGGGACCATTACAGACTGCCTTATTGGTGAAATGGATACATTATCTGATCTACATTAAAATGTATTTTTCATATAATCAATTAAAATATATATTTAAATATTCCAAGATTGGAATTTTTTAGAATGGTAAAACATAATATAATCCATGTATTCAGAGCTAGATACTGCAAAACATTAATAATGTATTGCACTGATACACTTGATATAAAACTATTTTACTGATACAGGTATAACATATAGTAACTATACTAATCTAGTTACTTAATAAAACTCAGTAAAGGTCAGTATAAAATGATGGGAAAGCTTCATCTCTTTAGGGTGGTGCAAATTGCATTCTTCCAGCCTGAGTCCATGGAGCTAGCTGTGAGGAGAAGGAGGAGGATCTGGGGGAGGCAGAAGACAATGGGGCTCTGTGCAGGTGTTCACCTGCGCAGAGCTGATTATAGTCCTTGGGGCCTTTTTTGGCCACTTACACCACCACTGAATTGCTGTAGTGTGATTTTCCCCCTGACACTGGAAGACCCTCTCTTGGACATGCCCCACCTCTTTTTTGCAGCTACACCCAGATCCCTGGATGACTAAACAGAGTTAGACAAATTTTAAATAGTTTGGCACTAAGCCCTTTTTTCTGACTAACACTTAATGTACAATAGGGATATGTAACAAAGATAACTACTGCTGGCCAGGTGTCAAGAACATAATATTTAAGTGTGTTTGAATCATTTGGCATATAAACTATGTACCGTGGGTGAAATTTACCACTGTATAGAGCACCAAGATGAGACCTATGCACCACAGCAATCCCACTAAAGTCCTTCAAATAGGGCTTAGGTGGTACTTAATTCATGCATAGCCCCTCTGCACAAGGTGAATTTCATCCTAATTACTTACGATGGGTTGGAAAGGGGAATAATCCTACACTTTAGCTAAACAATCCACAGGATCAGCAAGAAACAACTTTTAAAAAATATTGCTCTGCTTTTTGGTTTCCTCACTACTCCTGTCTCTGTATTTTCCTCTTTATGCTGAGGCAATATTTGTGTATAAATATATAACCTGATTTAACCCAAATAGAGCATTTCAGTTTAATAATATAGGTTCCAAGCCCATTCCATAAGAATTTGTGCAAGTAATTCTGGATGTAAGTAGCCCATAAAATTGATCTCTAATCTAAGCTAAAGAGCACTGTCTTGAAAAATTGACACAAAAACTATTTTAAGATTTGGCACTTAAATCTCTCTCTCAAGTACATTTTCAATGTCATTTTTCTTCTTCTTCACGTAGAACAAAGTTGGGTTTTGGTTGTTTGGAACACCCACTCGAAAAGGGACTCACCCCAGCCTGGTGTAAATGAGGGAGGGAAGGATGGTGGGTGAGAGAGAGTGACGGAGTGGGTTGGGTGGGGTGAGGCCTAGAAAAAGAGGTGGGGAAAAGGTGTTCCGTTTTGTGCGATTAGCAAATTGGCAACCCTTTAAGGTGCAAGTTAAGCACTCACTGGAAATGTGTTTAGAAGAATTTAAAACCTGTGGAAGCAACTGGAGCAGATTATTGAGGCCAAGGATTTCCTGGTTTGATAACTAATCTGAAAACTGATTTTAGCAGAAGACAGAACAACGGGAAAAGGGATTTCCATGATTTAGAATTCCAGGGAAAGACTTTCCATACCTACAACACAAAGACAGTGGTCCATAGGCTGCCAGCATAGCCTTTCAGTGAGATGAGATTTCCATTCTCTGGATCTATGTGAAATGGATTTGCGGAGCCTTGGAACTATTTAAAAATCCTGCAGGATGTAGAAACACCTCATTTAGATTTTCTAAAACACCTGAACATAATTTTCATTGATACAGCTCCAAGGAAATGAGCATCCAGTTACCTGAAGCACCTAGAAGGGGCTGGTGATTAAACAATCCCCAGACTGAGGATTTTCTGTTATACAAAACCAACCACAAACATTTCTCTTTATTCCTGAAAAGCGTGGACAGAGCCTTTCAGAACACAACTTGATTGTGTGTTTCTTCCCGCGTGAGCTTTTGATAAAGGAGAATCACAGACTGAATTTGGAAAAGAAATCTGCTGGGATGAGTAAACAATATTTTGCCTTTATAATTTAGAAGACAAAGTCCTCCTCCTCAAGAGTTATTCTTGGGAGTGTAAAGATTTCATTTGTAGTTTCATCAACTAGTAAAACCCCCCTATTTTTATATGGTACAATTTGGGGTTTAGGGCTCCCAAAATGGCCAGACTCCAAGTGCTTTATCTATGTTATGCATCGGAGTTTGGATTTTCACAGTGGAACAGGAGCAGCTGCACTCTTCTGATTAGCAGGCAACTGTTTTAGGATTTGGGATTTTAAAAAAACAAATGCTGGATCCAGCAAGTTCCAGGGGCAGGGTACATCTGCGTTGTGCAGCTGCTCGGGTTTGCAACAGGATCTGGAATTTTTCTTTAGACACTTAAATCTGTGAGGGACAAGGAAGGGGGTAGATTTAACAACTGCCGGGCTCCAAGTAGTAGAACTGTGTGCTTTCCAGCGCTATTGGACCGGCATTCACCAGCTCCACCGAGCGAGACGGTGCAGTGTGGGGCTGAGTCACACCAGAAAAGCTGGGGAACCAGGGCCAAAAGTGGGCTGGGGCTGGTGCTTTTACTGTCCTCCCGCTCCCAGCTGCGCCGAAGCCCGGCGTCACACCCCTGCCCCGGAGAAGCCAGGGGCCTTGGGCTCTATGGGGATAGTGCAGCTCGGGGGCTGGCGACCAAAGATCTCAGGATCCAGGTCTGAAGATTTCCTTGGGGAGCGGGTCGGGGCTTCGCAGGCCCCTCAGCAGGGACACCCGCCCCCGGGGCTGGGCCTGGCAGCGGAGGAGCAGGTGGGAGGGAGGGAGAGCCCCCCCCCCGCCTCCGCCTCCGCCTCCCCGCCCCGCACTTCCCTGCCGGCCGCGGCCAGAGCGCAGAGGAGCAGCGCCCGGCGCCTCTCTGCGGGGCGGATCGCGGGGAGGTGGCGGCCGCTGCGGTAGCGCCGGCAGGTCAGTGAGCCAGGCTGGGGCGCGCTCGTGGCCGCACCTGGGCGCGTGTGGTCCTGCCCGCCCCCTGCTGCCAGGACCCCCCCCTCTCCTCCCCTCCGGGGGCAGAGTCCAGCTCCCGCGCTCCCTGAGGGGGCACCTCGGTGCTGCTCGGCGCCGGGCTCGCTTCCCTGGCGGGCTCTGCCTCCTGCCCTCAGCCCGGCTCCCTGCCCCGCGCCGAACTTCCCCGGGCGCGGGGGACTCCCTCGAGGGAAGGCGTTCACGCCTGGGGTTTCCGCCCACCCCTTTTCCCAAACGGGTGGGCTGGGAACGGGCTGCCTGGGCAAATGCAGCTTGTCGGCATTTCCGTGCAACGCAGCCTGGGAAGCGCCCGGAGATGGACTCCAGAGGTGGAAAGTGCCCCGGGTAGCCCGGTGATGGGTGCCCACCGCCATCGATTATCTGTCTCTTAAACACCTGAGTGGCGAGGCCCTGCCTCCCGAGCCGCCTTTGCTCTTATAAAGCGCCGTGTGGGTAACACATCTTTTAAATGGCATCTTTGGCATGAAAATGATCCACACTAGGTGCGACTGCTGAGTGCGCTCGGGACTTTTCTTGCAGTTTCTAGCTTCTAGGTGGATCCACTCAACCTTCTTGTTTGTCCAGCATTTTTTAATTATTAGCTGTAGTGGTTATATAAATAATTATACCTCCCTTATATAAACTAGCAAGGACTTCAATGGGGCCAAGATTTTGCCCAACGTGCTTCAGTCCAAAGTTAGACCAAACCCAGTACAAACTGAAAACAGGGATGGTGCATGGGCCAGTAGGGTAGCTGTAAATAAGAGGGGAAAGAGTATAGCCCTTTGAGATGTCCTTTCTTTCAGCAAGCAAGAGGTATAGTGTGGCTGGTGACAATGTGGGTTTCATGTTAGTTACAAATTTAGTTAGCATCAGTCTTTTTTTTTTTTTAATCTCTTTGAGTCAGAATAATTTGTAAGAATTTATAAAGTTCCCCCTTTTCCTGTAGTTCTTAGCATTTCAACTAGATTCCCAGGGTATCTGACATAATTATTCTTGAACAATGTTAAGTTATATTAAGTGCATATAAACAGAGAATTATGTGTCTATTGTCCTTAGTGATTTAGTATTATCCATGTTAGCATAGCATATCAGGAGAATATATAGCTAAAGGATAGTTGGAGAGTTTTTTATACTTCAAATGTTGCACATTCATGAGAGTGTGAGATTATGTCACAGGCGATAGGGGGGTTGGAGGAAATGTGTGGCTGTGTAGTTACAGTTAAGAACATCAGGAGTTCTAGGAATAGGAAAGAGGCGTCCGGGCCAACATGTCAGTCCTTTTTTGGTTTGTTACTGAAGACTGGATAGTTCTGGTTAAATATTTTAGAATAGTAACAAAATCTTGCTAAAATTAAAACAATTTTCTGCATGGAAGTAAAAAGGGCAGTTAATTCAACAGGAGAAAGGAACTCTTCAGCTATATGGTAGGTGGTGGTCATTTCTACATGGAATAATCATGGAGCAGTCTTTACGTAGGGTCTGAAGTTTCCAAATGCTTTCAGTGATATAGAAATATTGCTTGAGATCATCTTCATCCATAAAATTGGTAGCTATTACAGTGTATGTCGTGATTGTTTTTATTTAACTATCTATTAATATAACTGATTTTTAACATCTCAGATGGCATGTTCTACAGACGTCTGTCTTTGTATATAGATGATGTGAAAAATTAAATGAAGCAGGCTCATAAATCAAAAATGGAAGTTTTAACTTTTTCTGTTAGATCAGAGTGTTTTGTCTCTTTAGTTTTATATAATTTTGTAACTTGAATACAGTCATTATAATGTTAAATTAATAGTAATAACCTAGCTTCATGTCCTTGTTTTAATAAACATACAGCATAAGTTGTCTTTGGGCAAGTTTTGCTTTGCCATAACAGTACATGTAATACCTAGCCACTGAAATATTTAAGACTGACTCCTGCTTCCCTACCATCTTCCAGGCACAGAAGTTCCTAAACTCAGTAGAACTTCTGTATGTGGTTCACTTGCACAGGAGGGCAAGCCACAGAGAAGCTATGCAGGGAGATTATGCAACTCTATTCTTTCATACCTCTCTGAGTTAGCTTGTGGGGGTGGAGGAGTTGTTGGGCATATGCCGGATGCTAGTGCAAGTCAAATATACTGATTCACTGGCCTAAACATTGACATGAATGGAGTGCACAATGAGCATGGATGCTGCTGCAGCCAATGGCCTTTAATAGTTTTTGCATGATCTTTGGTGAGGAGGGAAGATTCTATTCCCCCGCATCCTCTACCAAGTTCCCCTGGAGAAGACCCTTTTACTTAAGCTTCGCACATGGGTTCAGAATTCTCCCCTTAGGAGAGAATTATTCCCCTGTTTTGTTGTGCAGTTGGTTGGTTTTTTGCCTTAATGATGGCAAATTAAATATGGACTTGGCCCCAACCCTGCAAGAAACTCTGTGGGTGTGGATCCTGATACCCACACAGAGCTCCTTACAGGAATGTGGCTTAAGATATTACATGCAACCCATTGCCATGTTAATGCAACACTGTTATTGATTATATACTGTTTATATTACCTATGGGCTCTGTCAGGGTTCCTTCCTCACTCTGAACTCTAGGGTACAGATGTGGGGACCCACATGAAAGACCCCCTAAGCTTATTCTTACCAGCTTAGGTTAAAAACTCCCCCAAGGTACAAACTTTGCTTTGGCCTTGAACGGTATGCTGCCACCACCAAGCATTTTAAACAAAGAACAGGGAAAGAGACCACTTGAAGTTGTCTTCCCCCAAAATATCCCTCCAAGCCCTACACACACCCCCTTTCCTGGGGAGGCTTAAGAATAATATCCTAACCAATTAGTTACAAAATCATCAAAGACCCAAACCCCTGGATCTTGGAACAATGGAAAAATCAGTCAGGTTCTTAAAAGAAGGATTTTATTTAAAAAAAAAAAAAAGGGGATGTGTGTAAAAATCATCTCTGTAAAATCAGGATGGAAAATACTTTACAGGGCATTCAGATTCAAAACACAGAGGATCCCCTCTGGGCAAAACCTTAAAGTTACAGAAAACAGGAATAAACCTCCCTCTTAACGCAGGGAAAATTCACATAAAACAAAAGACCTCCTGAGGTCCCTTCCAACCTTGATATTCTATGATTCTATAAACTAATCTGCCTTGCCTGGCTTACCTATACTGGTTGCAATATTGGAGACTTGGATTAGGATGGGTTGGAGAAGATGGATTTCCGTCTGGACTCTCTCAGTCTCAAGAGAGAACAACCAAGTAAACAAAGAGCACAAACAAAAGCCTTCCCCCACCACCTCAAGATTTGAAAGTATCTTGTCCCCTTATTGGTCCTTTGGGTCAAGTGCCAGCCAAGTTAGCTGAGTTTCTTAACCCTTTACAGGTAACAGGATGTTGCTTCTGGTCAGGAGGGATTTTATAGCACTGTATACAGAAAGGTGGTTACCTTTCCCTTTATATTTATGACACGCCCCCCCAAATCACAGATATCACAGGGTGAAACACTGGCTTTTTCTCCTAGAGCTCCAGGAAGAACAGAGTTAATAAGACACATGCACCTCTAAATATACTACTAACTGTATAAAGACTAACAATATTTTCCACATCTCAAGGACGATTTTAACCAGTTGATTCTGGGAAACTTTCACGGGAGAGTGCATCAGCCACTTTGTTAGAAGCTCCTTAAATGTGTTGTATGTCAAAATCAAAATCTTGGAGAGCTAAACTCCACTGAATAAGTTTTTTGTTATTTCCCTTGGTGGTACGAAGCCACTGTAGCGCAGCATGGTTGGTTTGCAGGTGGAAACGCCGTTCCGAAACGTATGGGCGTAGCTTTTCCAGAGTGTAGACAATGGCAAAATATTCCTTTTCACTGATTGACCAGTGGCTTTCCCTCTCAGACAGCTTCTTGCTGAGAAACACGACAGGATAGAACTCTTGATTCGATCCTTCCTGCATTAAGACTGCTCCCACACCACGCTTGGACGCATCTGTGGTTACTAGGAACGGTTTGTCCAAGTCTGGGGCCCTTAGCACAGAGTCAGACATGAATGTTGCTTTAAGCTGGTTAAAAGCCTTCTGACACTGTTCAGTACACTGAACTGCATTTGGCTGTTTCTTTTTGGTTAGGTCTGTCAGTGGGGCGGCGACTTGGCTGTAGTGCGGTACAAATCGCATGTAATATGCGGCCAAACCTAAGAAGGATTGGACCTGTTTCTTTGACTTTGGGACAGGCCACTTTTGGATAGCATCCAGTTTGGCCTGTAGGGGGTTGATAGTTCCCTGACCCACCTGGTGTCCAAGATAAGTCACTCTGTTTAGGCCTATTTGACACTTCTTAGCCTTAACAGTTAGTCCTGCCTCCCTTATGCGCTCAAAGACTTTTTGTAGATGTTCCAGGTGTTCTGCCCAGGAATTCGAAAATATGGCCACATTGTCAAGGTAGGCGACTGCATATTTTCCCAGTCCCGCTAGGAGACCATCTACAAGTCTTTGGAAGGTGGCGGGTGCATTCTGCAGCCCGAAAGGGAGCACGTTAAATTCATACAGCCTGATGTGTGATGAAGGCTGACCTTTCCTTGGTGGATTCATCTAGCAGTACCTGCCAGTACCCCTTGGTTAAGTCCAAGGTAGCGATGAACTGGACCCATCCCAGTTTCTCTAATAGTTCATCTGTGCGTGGCACTGGATAGTTGTCTGGGCGAGTTACAGCATTTAGCTTACGGTAGAAACGCATCTCCCCATCTGGTTTGGGAACTAGAACCACTGGAGATGCCCATGCACTGCGGGAGGGGTGGATTACCCCCATCTGTAGCATATCCTGGATCTCCCGTTCTATAGCAGTTTTAGCTTGAGGAGACACCCGGTAAGGTTCGGCTCTAATTGGGTGAGCGTTACCTGTGTCAATGGCGTGGTATGCCCATTCAGTCAGTCCTGGGGTGGCTGAG